GATGGATAGCAATATATATGTGTAGAGAGACATAGTGGTGTCACATCTTACATAGGGGTTTGGCTCTATAAAGACAGCATGGCCATGTATCATCAAAATAACTCTTGAATAATTCTTAAGTTTAGGGGAAATTGCTGCACTGGAGATAGACATCCTGTTTTTTAGTAAGTTTTTCAAAACTAGTTTTCCTTCCATATTGATACAAGTCACCATTTCTTGAGTTATCACCAGATGCATATCATTAAACCTTGGCATCACTTCATTTGACGATATATACACACCATCGAAAATTTACGTCTTCCAACTCATGTTCACTCCTGGGCACATTTTATTGTGTGGAATGGTGGGTTGTGCAGTATTTAAATTTTTATCTCCCTCTTTTTTTTTTTTCCCATGAGCACATAGAGATGAATTCCCATGTTAGTACAAGTATGACGATATTACCCTACTGAATTCACACATACATTTGTATAGTTTGTTTTGTTGTTTGTTTTTGCATAAAAGGGCCTCTCCCTAAGAGGTAATAACAGTTAACAGTTTGGTTGGGTATTCTTGCAGACCTTCTTTTATGCATTAGCTGCATGTGTACATACCTATAGAAATGTATAGTTTTCTGTTTTCCCCCTGTAAATGATTTCTTACTGTACATATTCATATAAATATGGTTTTCTTCTTGTCACGTCAGTGCATGTAAAGCTGCTACATTGTTTTGAATCGATGCATTATATTCCTCAGATTGGTTATGACATAATTTGCTAAATTTTAATTTAATTATACAATTAACAAACACTTTATTTTAAAGAATTCAGATATAATTAAATAATATAATCAATATAATTAAATAAATTTAAAGCCCCTTTGACCATCTTCCCTACTCCTAAGCTTCTCTCAGGAAATAATAACAGTTAACATTTTGGTGTATTGCAGACCCTTTTCTGTGCATTCCATGTAAATGTATGTACCTATAGAAATGAATAGTGTTTGCATTTTTGCCCATAAATAATTACATGCTGTAATTTTTTTCAACATGATTGTGTTTGGTTTCTTGTTTTTACTCAACAGCATGTCTTGGGGATCTTCCCATGTTGACGTTGATCTACCACACTCTTGAATTGCTCTTGTATAGTATTCCATAGTGCAAATGATCATGGTTTAACTCTTCCTCTGATGATGGTCATTTAGATTGTTTTCATTTTTTTCACAGCATTATGAACAACACTGCTTTCATATTCTTGTATGACACTCCTTGGGCACTTGAGTCAATTTTAAATTTAAAATTTTAATTGATAACTGCCAAATTGTTTTTCAAAATGGCTTTACTTGTTTTTATTCTCACAAGAGTATGTGAATTTCTTCACACCTTAGATAATTTGTTAATATTAAGCTGTAAATTTTTTTGCCAATTGAAGTTGTATGAAATAACATATTTTTAAAATTTCTTTTTCCTTGATTACTGATGAGTTGAGGACTTTCCTTTGTTTAGTTTTTTGGTATATTTATTAGTCATTTATAGTTTCTGCTTTGTGACTTGCCCATTTTTCTGTTGTGTTTGTTGTCTTTTTCTATTGATTTGTTGGAATTTGCCTTATTGGTTAAAAAAATTTTATCCCAGTCTTTTGTTATGTAGAAGTTTTAAATTTTGATGATGTCACACTTGTAAATCTTTTCCTTTATGGCTTTTTTCTGTTCTTAGATTGCTAGATTTTTTAAAGGGGAATGTTGAATTTTTATCAAATGACCTTTTACTTTCTGTCTAAAGGAGTGATCATAATAATTTGTTAGTATAGTACATAATTTTTTTTTTAAAGGTAGCAAATTGTATTCCGAGGTAGGCACTTTTTTTTTTTAACGTGACTTTATTTGGAAAAAATGTCTTTTTTAAAAAAATGTATTTATTTAATTTATTTATTTTTGGCTGTGTTGGGTCCTCATTGCTGCATGGGCTTTCTCCAGTTGCCGTGAGCGGGGACCACTCTTCGTTGTGGTGTGCAGGCTTCTCATTGTGGTGGCTTCTCTTGTGGAGCATGGGCTCTAGGAGCGTGGGCTTAATTGTTGTGGCTCACAGGCTCTAGAGCGCAGGCTCAGTAGTTGTGGCGCACGGGCTTAGTTGCTCTGCGGCATGTGGGATCTTCCCGGACCAGGGCTTGAACCCATGTCCCCTGCACTGGCAGGCAGACCCTTAACCACTGTGCCACCAGGGAAGCCCTATAATGAATGATTTTAATGAATTTCTAACTATTGAAACTTCCTTAAATTCTTTGGATAAAATCTACTTGGTTATGATATATTATTCTTTTGAAAAACTAGGTTTCAATTTATTATTGATGTATTTGTGCACTATACTCATAAGTTAGAATGATAATATATCTTCTTCCTCTCTTTTTTCTTCCCTCCCTCCTTTCCCTCCTCCTTTCCTCCCTGACTCTTTCCCTTCCTCCTTCCCCTCTCCTTCTCTCTTCTTTCTTTTCTCTATAATTTTTTATGCTGCAGTTATGTTGTTTATAGACTGATTAAAGTTTTTCTAAACTCTATAATGGTTATATAACATAAAAATGAGTAATCAAAAATTATTTGGTAAATGTTTTGCATAAATTTATCTGGGTCTAGCACCTTTCTTAGGATAGATAGATCTTGGATTACCCTCTAACTTTTTTCCGTGGTTATTTGTATGTTCAAGTTTCTACCTGTTCGTAAGGGAATTTTGCTAATATATCGTTTTTTAGGAAAATTGTCCATTTCAACTATATCTTCACATTTATTAGATTAAATGCATGTTTTCTTATAATAAAAAAACTCTCTAAAATTATTTCCTTTTTTTTTTTGCTTCTAATATTATGTATTATTTTCATTCCTTCCCCTCTCCCCTCCATTTTTCAGACTTGCTGAACAATGTTCTGTTTTATTGGTCTTTTCCAAGAAAAGCTTTGGGTTGGCTTTATTGATTGCCTATCTCTATCTGCCTGTTTTAGCATCTAATTAGTTTCTACTTTCATTTTTACAGTTTGCTTCTATTTCTCTGGCTGGGTTAAAAAAAATTTTTTTTTGTACTTTTTCCTTTAATAATTTCACTTACAGAAGAGTTGCCAGACTAGGTCAAGGAACTTCTATATACTTTACCCAGAATCACCAACTACTGACATTTTGCCCCATTTATTTTATTTTTTTCCCAGCTTTATTGACATATAGTTGACAAAATTATATATATTTAAAGTGTGCAATGTAATGATTTGATATACAAATACATTGTGATTACCACAATCAAGTTAATTAGCACATTCATCACCTCACAGTTACCTTGTGTGTGTGTGCACGTGTGTGTGTGTGTATGTGTGGTGACAACACTTAAAAATCTACTCTCAGCAAATTTTAAGTATATAAGATATTATTATACAGTATTATTATTTTTTTGTTTGTTTTGGGGTTTTTTTTGCGGTACTCGGGCCTCTCACTGTTGTGGCCTCTCCCGTTGCGGAGCACAGGCTCCGGACGCGCAGGCTCAGCGGCCATGGCTCACGGGCCCAGCCGCTTCGCGGCATGTGGGGTCCTCCCGGACCAGGGCACGAACCCGTGTCCCCTGCATCGGCAGGCGGACTCTCAACCATTGCGCCACCAGGGAAGCCCTATACAGTATTATTAACTGCAGTCATTATGCTGTACATCAGATCCCAAGAACTTATTCATCTTATAACTAGAAGTTTGTACTTTACCATTTCTCTGGATGTTTTTGTCTATGCATAGTAGTTTTTCAGAACCACTTGAGTGTGAATTGGAGACATTTTGCCCAGTTACTTCTGATTACTTAAGTGTGTTAATTTTAAGAACCACATTATAGTTATCAAAATCAGGAAGTTTAACAGTGATACAATACTGTAATCAAAGCCACAATCCATATTTAGATTTCATCAGTTGTCCAAAAAGGTCTCTTATAGATGCTCTTTCTCACTTGGGGATATGATTTAGGAAATGCATTGCATTTAGTTGTCTCTTTAATGTCATTTAATCTGGAACATTCCATCAGCCTTTTTTGTGTGTATTCCTTGACCTTGACATTGTTAAAATATAGGCTAGGTGTTTGTTGTTGTTGTTGTTGTTGTTTTATGCTGTACGCGGGCCACTCACTGTTGTGGCCTCTCCCGTTGCGGAGCACTGGCTCCGGACGCGCAGGCTCAGCGGCCATGGCTCACGGGCCCAGCCCCTCCGCGGCACGTGGGATCTTCCTGGACCGGGGCACGAACCCATGTCCCCGGCTTCGGCAGGTGGACTCTCAACCACTGCGCCACCAGGGAAGCCCTGTTGTTGTTTTTTTTCAGAATAATGCTCAATTTGAGTGTGTATAATTAAATTAGTTCAGGTTATACATTTTTGGTAGAAATACTATGGAAGTGATGATGTGGTCTTAGTGCATAATATCAGGAATCACCTGATATTGTTATTTTACAGTGATGTCTGCAAGGTTTGTCCACTGTAAAGTTATTACTTCCCTCTGTAATTAATAAATAATTTGTTAGGAGACATTTGAGATGATGTAAATACCTGTTCCTCATCAGCCTTTCACCTCTGGGTTTATTTTGTTATTCTATTTCAAGCCTGTCATATTGAAATTTTAGTTTATTTATTTCAGGCTTTATTTTCTTACGTACTTAAGATTATAAATTTTTCTTAATGTATCACTTTGACATATTAACCGGCATACTTACAGTAGGGTTGGGAATGAAAGGAGACAGTGGTTGGGGAGATTGTCTTTAATAATGTACTACTAGGAAACTGGCCATAAGATCCTGAACAGAGTATTTTAAAGTTGCCCAAGTCACCCATGTCTTAACAAAATATTTCCAGTGTTGATTTAAAGAACAAAAGATATGTTTTATGATGATCATGATTGTCACACTTATGAGTATGTTCTAGAAAATTATGAAATTAAGTGTGTTTAGTGCCACTGGTACCTCAGGACTTGTTTAATATACAGTATCTCAGATGACATATGTACTTTATCATTTCAGGAGCAGCAGCGATGGCATGGAAGAATCCTCTGTCAAGCTGGTTTACTGCTATGCTCCACTGCTTTGGTGGAGGAATTTTATCTTGTGTACTCCTTGGGGAGCCTCCACTGAGGTTTCTTGCAAACAGCACTAATATATTACTGGCATCTTCAATCTGGTAAGCTGCCATTGTGGTGAATGAACTATGAGACATTTAAAAAAATCTGTAAATTGTTAGTAAATGGAATTTTTTTCTTTAAAAAATATTTTATATTCTTAAAAGTTAATGCATGTGCAAAGGAAGGAACCCAAATAATGCCAAAGGTTTTAAGTGCAAAGTATGTCTCTTTCTCACCCTTCTCCCTTATCCTCTCCCAGAGGTAGGTATTGTTGTCTTATGTATCTTTAGTGGAAGCATTTCAAATATGAAAGGGCATCAAATATTTGACCCCCAACAGTTGATCTTGTGAACCTAACCTATACACATAGTTATACAACGTGATAATCAAGAATGTGACCAACTACACAAAAAGTCCAAGTGATTATGATATTTATGGTAATTGTTTTTGGTATTTGTCATACTCTTTGTTCGATTTTTCAGAGCCTTATGAAATTTAACATTAATTTTATTTTGAATTTAGTTTTGAAGTGAAGAAAAAAATGTTAGTAGGAATTGCTTTGGATTCTTGCAAATTCAGCTTCAGTTATCTTTAAGAGGAATGATACATCAAGTTAAAAAAAAAAAGTGTAATACAAATCAGAGAGCTTTGTTATACCTAAAGCAAAAACCGTGCTTTTGATTAGAAACCATAGCAATGAAATACGTAACATTAGGAGCACTTGAAGTTAATTTTTATTGTGATGATTTTAAATGAATATGTAACCAGTCATAAAAGGGAATATTATAAATAGTAGTAGCAATGGGACACATAGTGGGAACTAGTGGCAGTAGAAACTATTAAGAGTAGAACAATAAATTTGATAGCTAATATTTATTGAGTTATTACCATATGTCAGCTAAATTCTTTATATTCGTTGTCATGTTTAATCACCAGAGTCCAATGAAGTAGCTATTATTATTTCCATTTGAAAAATGAGAAATCTGAGGCATAGAGGAACTTTGCTGAAATTTTCGTATTTAGTAAGTGATTGAGCTAGGACCCAAAACCAGGAAGTTTGACTTTAGAGCCTTGCCACTTAACAGCCACTGTCTCTCATTGATTTGTTTAACCATCTCTTAAAGTATATTCTTCCAGTTGCTATGTGTTTTAAAACATTTTCTCAAGGACTTTTATTTCTATAGCAATATTTTAAAAGGATATTAACATTTTGGAGAATTCTGTTTATGTGTGTAGATGCTTAAACTATATGAAAAGTGGGATATCCAGAATCTGACACTTTTCATCACTTCCACTTCTGCTCCTGTATACTAACTACCACTATTGCTTGGACAGTTGCAGTAGCTTCCTAAGTGTTCTAGCTGCTTCTTTCATTATCCCCCTGAGTCTTTTCTTCACATAGTAGATAAAGTGATTATTTTAAAATGTTAGAACATATTACTCCTATGCTCAATAGTTTCTTATCTTACTATGAGGAAAATTCAAAATTCTTAACGTAGCCTATAAGACCCTATAAAATCTTCCCCTTCCACTCTCTTTGTTGTAATGTCTTTCTCCTGTACGCCTGCTCAGTCTGCGCTAGCCACGTTGGCTTTGCCATTTCTTGAACACAAAGATGTTCTGCCTCAGCGCCTTTGTGCTTGCTCTCTTTTCTCTGTGATGTTCTTTTCCCAGAAGGCTCAGATTTTCTTTTCTTGGAGAGATCTTCTCTGAAAAAAACACCTCCTCTCCCATGACTATCACATCATACTTCTTTTTTTTCCCCTAGATTTATTACTGTATGATGTGTTGTCTGTTTATTTCTTCTCATGTTGGTTTGTCTCACTCCACTAGAATAACAGCCTGTCAGAGAAGGGACTTTGTTTTGTTAACTGTGTGCCAAGTATTGTTCTAAGTTCAGTAAGTACATTGCTAAAGGAACGGACAGCTTGTGTTCTGTTATATGGGAGTTCTATAATTAGTAGCAAGAAATTACAGATCTTGGTTAGTGATACACTAAATGAAATAAAAGTGCTTGTCTGTAAATATATACTTCCTTGGCTGAAACAAAAAGATATGTTAGAAATGGAAAATAAGAAATGCATTTTTATGTAGTGAATTAATAGTATAGTATTTAATTATTTGTTAACTTGAGATCTTTTATTATGCCCATTTTACATAAGAGGAAATTGAGGCCTGAAGAGTTGGTAAATGACAGGGTCTGGATTTCAACTTAGCATGATCTTAACCAAGAAGAGTTTTCATTATGAACAATATGTGTTTTTTAAAAGTTTTAATTAATATTGAGTAGGTACAAAGGAACATTTATAAAAATATGCAGAGTATAAAGAATTATGATATAATAAAAACTTGTATATCCATCATTTAGATTAAGAAAAGAATTGCCACTTACAAAAATATTTTATTAAAAGATGATGACCTGCTTTCTGAGATTTCCTGGGTCTTTTCCCCTTCCCCAGTTTGGTCTGGACCTTCCCCTTCTTTTGTTCTATCCTGCTCGGTTTTGATTCTACATCAGCAGTTTCTTCTTATTATTGGACTTGTTCTAGAAGGGAGCCTGGGTGGATCAGTTTTCAAAGTTCACAGGGACTACATTGGTCCAACCCCTTCAGACGTTATCATGGACCCTTTGTCTCACCTGGTATTGGAGATGTAAGAATCCTTCCAGTTTCAGCTGTTGTTGTTTTCCAGATTGGCCTGCTGTGCCTTCTAGTGAATTCCCATTAGCTATTTTGAAGCTGTTTTGTTCTTAGGTCCATTAGTTGCCACCTTGCTGCTTTCTTCTTCCTGCCAAGCAGTTTAGTTCTATGTATGCTGGTGATTTGCCTTTACCCATTTGCATTTTGGGATTTAAAGGGATACCTTGTCACATAGTTTTGTTGTAAGTGCTATGGATGGGATTTTGGCTTTGCTATCTAGTTGCCCTGTTTTTATGAGGGGATTTGAAGAGATCAAAATCTAGGCAACTACTGCTGCCACCATCTTCCCAGAACAGTTGCCGTTAGTTTTGATGTCCCCATGTGACCCTCCACCCTCAGCCCGATCCCATGTTCTCTCTTCCTTACTCATAGGTAACAATTACCCTTAATTTTGTACCTTTCATTCCTTTAGTTTTCTATGCAGTTCTGACATATATTTTTCTAAATAATATAGTTTTTGAAAATTTTATAAATGGAATCGTATGTATGTATTTTTCAGTGACTTGCTGTTTTTGTTCAGCCTCTGTTCCTGAGATTCAGTCTATTGTGTATGCTTGTAATTTATTACTTTTCACTTCTGTATAGCTTATCAGAATGAATTGTCATCGTATATTCATCCATTTCTCTGTTGACATAGAGTTGTTTCTAGTATCTTGTCTGTTACAGTATTGCTAGGAACATGATGTACATGGGTAAGATTTTCTCTTGATATAGCTTAAGAGTAGATTTACTGAGTTATAGGGAAAGTGATTTATTTTATTTTATTTTATTTTTTATTTTTTTTGCGGTACGCGGGCCTCTCACTGCTGTGGCCTCTCCTGTTGCGGAGCACAGGCTCCAGACGCGCAGGCTCAGCGGCCATGGCTCATGGGCCCAGCTGCTCCGCGGCACGTGGGATCTTCCCGGACCGGGGCACGAACCCGTGTCCCCTGCATCGGCAGGCGGACTCTCAACCACTGTGCAACCAGGGAAGCCCCAGGGAAAGTGATTTGTAAGCTCTACTAGATAATGAGAAATCATTTCCCAAAATGGTTATAATAATTTACATCTCCACTGTATTGCACTTAATCTAAGAACTGGACTTTACCAATAACTTATATATATACTTATATTTCTCTCCCAAATCCCATCTGTCTGCACTTTTTCCACAGTTAACCTCTACCCTGTGTTTATCTTTGTGTTTGTATTTTTTAAAAAGGTGTATATTTTATATATGAATATATAAACAATAGATTTTTTTAGTTTTATTTGTTTTTGGCCCTATTTTAAAATGGGGTATTATGCTCTGTATAGTTCTCTAGGACTTTTTTTCATTCAGCATTATGTTACTAAGATTCATCTGTGTTTTGCTAGTAGCTATAGTACATTCCTTCTCACTGTTGTATAATCTATTAATATTAATAACTGTATTTTATTTATTCTTCTGATGAGCATTTTTATTGATTCTAGTTGTTGGGCATTACAAAACAGCAAGAGCAGCCACTGATGTAGTATAGACACTTTTCCAAGTGCTTTACATTTATTATCTCATTTAACCTCACAAGAAACTGGTGAGGTAGGCTCTCTATTATTTTCATTTAATAAATGAGGAATCTGAGGCAAGATGGGTTAAATAACTTGCCCAAGGAATCACAGATATCTAGTAGCTGGAGCCAGCATTCAAACCTAGGCTACCTAGTCCTTTAGTCTGCACTTATACAGTGTATTGTTTTGGACTTGGGAAATACTGGCATTGTCTTTGTGCTCACAGACCCTTAAATATAAAAAATGATGCTTGCTTAAAGGCATAGTATATTTACTGTTTTCTTTTTCAAGGTTTTAATGTTGAGAACAAATGTGTAATCTTTGCTTCATTTGATTTTAATTTGGGAAATTAAAATGATGTTTGTAATGTACTTTAAACTCTAGCAAGCTAAAAAGTAAGGGAGTATGTGAATGTACTTATTGGCAAGGTCATCTTTAGTACAGTAGCTCATAGTGCTCACATTTGGAGATTAGCACCATCTACTGGCAAAGGGAAACAATAACTTGGTATGTTTAATAGTTTGGAAGACAGTGTACCCTTTCATAGGATTTTTCTTTTTGAAAACTGTTTCTGGGGGGGAATAAATATTTTATAATTTCTCTGTGTATTGATTTTTATGCCCCATTTTGTTTTCCTTTAACTTCCAAGTATCAGTTATATATTGCACATTTGCCTGAGACTGCATTTTTATGAGGAAGAGTACAACAAAAGGTATAGTTTTATAGGTCTGTCATTCTGTAATAGTCTTTTTCAAAGCATATACATAAAATTATTAATTTGTTAGAGTAGTAAGAGCAAGAGCAAAGCTCTTGTATTGGACTAATATGAACTGTAT